TTAGGAAATTAGAAATACTGACAATATTGATAAGTTATCTTTTTAAGTATTTGTTTATGGCTTCTTAACTGTCCAGAACTTTGCATGTTTTGTAGCTTGTTTACAACTTCAGTTTCTTTTTTTTCATAATGAACTAATTTTGTTTCCATGGCTACATTTATTTTCAGGTAGAAACTGAAGTTGATAATATAAAGATTTCCTTTTTACACTTAGAAATCGACACACTGAAGATTATGATTAACAGTAAATCTCAAAGCAGCTGATGAAAACATCAATTTTCCCATAACTTCCCACTTGAATTCTCTGCCATTTTTCTTGGTAGGATGGTTGTCATATTGTTAAACAAAAGAAGGCCAAGAGAATCATTTGAAAGATCGCAGTAGGAAAAAAAGACACAAACACAAAAGATTTTTAAATACTTGAGCATGATAAGAAGAAAGTCTAAAGAAAACTCTTTAAAATGCACAGCTTTAAGAAATATATTTCGGTAATAAAATCTTAGTGTTTTGCTCAATTGTAAACATATCTGATATATCTTTTAATGTTAAAACTAGAATTCTGTCCTTCAAAGATTATGGAACTTCTCCTCTACCATACCTTTATAAAGTATTGTTGAGGTAACAAAAATGTACACATCAAGTATGTTATGCCAACCATTTTCTAGAAATCATTATTTAATATTCAGCAATGCACTGTGTCAGTTTTTATTATGCATGTCGATGTGAGAACAATTGGTAAGGTTTCCAGGATATATTTATATCAGCTATATAACATTGTGATGTTTAGCTTATAATATCTATCCTTATTTAAAATATTGATTAAAATTGTTTTCATATGCAAAATTCAACATAAAGTTTTCTTAACTATTTCTATGAAGGACCTATCTGCATTCATCACTAAAATTACTGTTGAGAAATCAGTTTTCATGTACTTCTTCACCCAGTTTACATATTTCTCTTTCTATATTTGAGATAAAGATGGTAGTCCTGGTTACTTTCATGTCTATAACCAATTTCTGCAGCTTTTCTCTCCGTTTACATTTGCAGCACAAAAGCTTCTTCAGATCTTTTCTTGCTCAATCCAATGTTTCTGCTTATTACCATTTAAAAATTGTTTCTTTTGTGATATTCTTAAAGACAGTTTGTTCTTAAGTTGCCAATGTTTTGCTTTCCTTTGAGATTTGTTCCTTCATCTTTGTTCACCATTTTTCTCATTTTCTATTATGTTATCATCTCTTGATAACTTTACAACATTTTCTTTACTTTTCAAATTATAGCTTTCTTATTTCCTATTCCAATCTTTATGTATCTGAAATAAAAAAAATCATTATTACTAACTACTCTATTATATATATATATATAAAATTTGTGTATTTAGGCAGCAATCCTTCTTTCATGTACATTTCATTGAATACAACAAACAAGGTGCTTTGATTTAGTTTTTTATACAATTTCTCATGTGATCTAATAATTTTTTTCTTTTCAGATAATAAATTATATAAAAACTGTTTGAATGTTATTTTTTTTCCAAGCGCCTTTGGTTATATATTTAGCTATTTTCCAGGTTAAAATATATTAACTGTTAAAAAGAAATAGTTTGTTTTATGTATGTATTTATATAATGTTTTCATTTTCAAAACATGGTCAAGATATTGTGTCCATGTTCACAGTTAATATTATTGAGTCTTGGTTTTTTGTTTTCATTAATAAGGTTTTCATTATTTTTAACCATTTTTTGAATGTATTTTGATGCTATTATATTTGTGTTGCTAACAAGTATGTTACGAATAGTGTCTGGTAGGTCTCCATGAATATTTAAATGAGATCTAATTGAGCTATGGTCAGAAAGGTGTAGAGTGAGACTTTGTGTCAAACATGTTGTAGTATAGCCTCTCTCTCTCTCTCTATCTATATATATATATATATATATATATATATATATATATATATAATATTGGAAACTTTCAAGATGCATAATTAAATCTTACATCGCATCAGTTTATTTCTAACTAGCCTAGAAACCGCCCTTTTGGCAGACATTAGGCTAGCTCCAGGGGAGGGTTTTTGGGCATTCAGCCTTTTACCCTCAGCATCCTATGTAGGTAAAAGTTATAAGAATTTAGAAATAATAAAATTATTTTATCTTTATTCAGAACCTTAATTCGTCATAATCTTTCTTCATATACACAACTGATCTCCATAGTTTGTTTACATTTATTTTGTGTGCAATTTTTATTTTCTTTAAAAATCCCCATTTTTTATGATCCCTTCACATAAAGTCACTCTTAAAATAAATTAGGGAACTGAATTATGTAATATTTCAAATATCTCGCAGTATGTGTGCTGGAAAAAGAAACAAAATAAACAAAACCTGAGCAACGTACCATGCTTGGTTTAAGTTTTAATTACAGTTTAATTAGATGATATCAATTGCAATTGTGATGAAAAGCGAAATTCGAGTTAAACCTTTAATAAAGGATTCTCCTTTTTAACCTTTCACTCTGTTTGATATTTAAGTTTAAATGAGTTATTTATTTAATTTTTAATCGCATGTTACTTCAAGTTCATCAAGATTGAAAAACGGACGGACACATGTACACTGCACTTTATTTATATAGATATAAAAAAATAAACAGATATTACAAACTGTAATAATATGCAAGTATATCTTCAAAATTTGACCAACATTAATAGGTTAATACTATTTTTATTGTGAAAACATTGACTTGCATTATAAAATCTGACATAGTGTAGTAATTTAAGGGGTGGGGGATCTCTTTATTACTTAATAACAATTGGAAACCGATCCTCCATTTTGGGTACAATAGAAACTTACATTAATATTTAATGAAAATCTGTCCTGTAAATTTTAATGATATTGGGTGATTAATGCTAAATTTATTATGAAAACTGATATGCATCTTAAATTTGACATATTTTTAAGATTTTATGGCATATTTTTTATATCAAAGACATTTTCCACTGATTCGTTTTTGTAAATTAAGAGAAGAAGCTACAAAATTTTTTGGGCTGGTCAACAAAGATGTCCACTTAAAAAATGATCCAGAATTCCAATCATGTTTTATTAATTTATTAACTACATTTTTTGGTTAAGATTTTTGCACTTCAACTATAAATGAAATGGTCTTGCGTTTCATTTCATTTCATTTTGTATAACCTTTCATCATTGACATCCATTGTAAAGTAAATTATGTGAAAATATTTCAGTGTTTTTTAATCAAATGTTGACTAGAGCTTTAGAAACATCTTGACTTTTGTTTTATTCATGCAGTTTTCTGTTGCGTTTCTTTGATAGAAATTGCTTTATTGATATAGCGGGAGTAAATTTTAATTTCACTAACAAAAAGAATTTGTATATCTATATATATATATATATATATATATAAACAATATATATATTGTTTATATATTTTTATATATTGTTTTTAAAATGAAATCTGCTTGATATAAAAAAAAAAATTTAAATTCTTACCATCCCTCGTTTGTGTGCATGTGTAGTCGCACCAATGTAATCAAATTTAGTGTGATGATGTCCTAAAATACAAAACGCATCACACAAAAACTTTTTCCACTTTGTCATACATTTTCCTCCCATATAGATTGTTGTGGGCATATGCTGGTCAAATGTTTAGGTTGGAAAACATGAGTATCCTGGTATTTTTATCCCACAACAAAAATGGCGAACTCAGTATGTGAGTCTGGGTAACAAATGAATAAAGCAATGACAAAACTATATATAGAAACATGATAAGTATGTATTAACAAAATAATGGTATACATAGACAATAAAATATTGTTACATGTTATAAAACAATGAACATGAATGAAGAAAGCATTTAAACTAATGAATTGCTTGTGTGTGTGTATATGTAGTTTGGTATAGAAGAAAGTTCTAGAGAAAATGAAGTGAAAGGTGCATATGTGCATGCACCTTGCCCAGGGGGAAAGCATCTTCCTCGTTTGACCTACATCTTAACATCTATGAGTGAAAAAGGAAAAAGAGGATGACAGAAAATGTCACTGGGTTTAGGGAGTATCCTTTAGCAGCATTTTTTAGGAAAGTAAGTGGGTTAACTTCCCAATATAAGCAAAAAGATTTTATATATCTGTGAAAAAATAAGTTCATTCTTTTTTCTCTCTATTTCCTGCTTTGTCTTTCATCTTTTTTTTCTTCTTTCCCTCTTCTTTATTTTTTACTTTCTTTTCATTCTTTGTTTTTCTTTCGTTCTTTTATACTTATCTTTCATTCATTCTATTTTGGTCTTCATTTCCTTCTCTGATTTGCTTTATTTTTTTATTTTTATTTGCATAACTATTTTTTTACATATTTTCTTCACTTCAAAATTTTTTTTTTAACTTTCTGTTTTTTCATCTTTCATATTTTCCGTTTCACTTTGTTTTTCTTTCTTTCTTTAAACTTTTATTGTCGTTTTTTATTTATTTATTTTTTTTTTTTTTGCAAGGAAAGGGAATATGTCACATTTTTATATACCCTACAGCCATTTTTTTAAAATTATATCTTTTTTAAAATTCTTTTGGTTTCTGCTTATTTTTACATAGGAAATTTCCCCCCCTGACACCGAACCTGAAGTAAGTATGGAGAGATTAGATAAATGTTGTTTATAAAAACGTGTCTCCATGTCTGTTGTGCTTCTCTTTAAGTGCCTTTTTTTTAGTTTCTTTTTTGTTCTCATTCCAATGTCTTTCTGTTCAATATATTTTTTTTTTTTTCAATGCCTTGGGAAATACAAATTTTTCCCTCTTAAGACAGAACCCCCCCTCGTCGAGCCACCAGAAAGAAACAACCCTTGACCCCCATTTACTGTATGCAGAAATTCATGTCTACATATTTTGATATTTATGGGTTTTAATTCACTGTTTAATTTTTTTTGTGTTAATTTCTGCTTATTTTTCACAAATAGAAAATTTGAGCCAAAATATTAAGAAATATTGTTTGCTTTGCTAAACAACTAAACATCAATGTCTTCTTTTTTGCTTTTCATTCTTTTGTCTTTTCATAAAGTTTGCTTTTGAAGAAGTTTCATATTATTTGAGAAATATCTTTTCCATCTTCATTAGATTTTTCTTTTTCTTTCTTCTTTCTATTACTTTCTATCATTCTTTCTTTCTATTTCTTTTATTCCTTTCTCTCTATTTCTTTCTTTCTTTCTTTCTTATTTATTTCTCTCTAACTATTTCTTTCTTTCTCTCTGTTTCTTTCTTTTTTCTATATCTATCTTTCTTTCTATTCCTTTCTTTTTGTTTCTATTTCTCTCTCTCTACCTATTTCTTTCTCTCTATTTCTTTCTTTTTATTTCTTTCATTTTCTTTCTATTTCGTTTTCTTTCTCTTTCTTTCTACTTCTCTCTTTTTCTTTCTCTTTCATTTTCTTTTTCTTTCTCTCTATGTCTCTCTTTCTCTCTATCTATTTCTTTCTTTTTATTTCTTTCTCTCTCTTACTTTCTTTTTGTTTCTTTCTATTTCCTTTTTCAGTCTTTGTTTCTTTTCTCTTTCAATTATGAATGTCAAAAGCATTGACTTTTTACTTTTTACTTCTTTTTACACACATTTCTTTATCTCATTAAATTCAATTTTTCAATCCCCTTTTCTTAACCATTGCTTTCTTTAGCACACAGAATTTCCCTCATCAGAAAATATTGTTAATACTTATTGTATTGGTCAATCAGTTATACTGTAGCACTTGACCCTGATCCCTACAGCTTCCCTTTCACCATTTTTACTGTCATCTTCAGTTTCTTCTCTTTTGTCAATTGATAAATAAAAATATCGTCACAAAATGTCAATAAAACCTGACATGTTTGCATCTGTGAATTTTCTTGTCTGCTTCATTTTTTTCAGAATCTAATCAATCATTTTTTCACTCTCTTACAATTCTTTATTATTTTGTGAACTTACTTTTTACATAATTTCACATTTCTTCTCTCTTCCTTTAAGTATTAAAAACAATAAAACCAGACAGAGGAAAATTTTTTCAAAATCACATTGAGTGCAGAAAATTGTAGATGCTAGTATCATTAAATCCAATACTTATTACAATTAAGTATTTTTATATCCTGTACAAAATCGCTTATTTTGTCATAATATATAATTAAAACTAGTAAAGATTTTTGTTAATTTTTTTTTTTTTTAGAATCATTTGAAAGTAAAATTTAAGTTACAAATTAAAACTAAGGGGAAAAAAAGCCTCAAAAATAAAACTGTGGGATGTAGATTCCATTAATATAATTCTAAATCTGATATTAAAAAATGTTTGAAACAAAAAAAAAGTATCTATTTTAAATTATTAAACATTGATAAGACAGAAAGAAAAATTTTCATCCTTGGGCCAGAATAAATATTTTTTTTGCTTCCATTAAGTCTTCAATTAATGTTGAAGATTTAAATATTGAAGCCAAACAAAACTGAAAATATTAGTGAATTGTTTGTAAACTTTGTGAAAGAATAATTACATCAATAATTCTCAACCAGAAGAGAATTTCTTCCTTGGGTGGAATTTTAGGGTTTCAGGCATAAATTAGGGCTACACATTGGCAGATTCAATCTTTTTGTTGGAATATTGATCTTTCTACAAGCTGCAACTTGATAATGCACCTTTTTATTCAAACAATCTTGGAACTGGAGAGAATAACTTTATAGAATTTGGTAAAAAAGATTTCATGCACCCCCACCCCCCAACAATAAAAATATTGCATGGTCCCCCTGCTCAAAAAAAAAGATTGCATCCTCCCACTGACAAAAAAAAAAATTACATATCCCCCAAAGATTGCATGGTCCCCACCACAAAAAAAAGATTGCATAGCCCCCACCTAACGATTCCTGCTCCCTCCCCAACAAAAAAAGTGTTGAAAACCATAAGATCTATTTCATTTTGGTTCATTCCTGAATTTTCACAAGCTTAAAGTTATGTACCAATGTAATTGGTAAATTACACCTTTGTGGTATCTGTCCTTGTTTTTTTTTTTCTTTTATATAAAATCTAGACTGACTGTTACCTAATCCTACAGTTGTGTTTTAATGTTTTTAATCTAATAAATCTAACCATGCACTCTGAAAGAATAAGAAACATCAAGTGGAATAATTCTATCAAATTAATTGGTAGGTCTGCTGCTAGGTACATTCATTCACCGTGTTTTGTTAGACAATTTTTCTCACCAGAATCTATCTTACATATTTATAAGTCTACCATTTGTCCATGCATTGAATATTGCTGCCATATTTGGTCTGGTGCTTCTTGATAAAATCCAAAGAAGAATCTGCAATGTTATTGGTCCTGACCTGGCCTCTCAGCTTCAATCACCTTTTCATCACTGTAACATAGCTTCCCTATACCTTTTTGATAAATGTTTTCATAGTAATTTTTCTGATGTGCTTTCCTCTTTGATACCTCAACTTAATGGGTTTAAGCACAGTACTAGATTGGCAGCTAGGTCTCATCATTTTATAGATGAGATGACTAGATGTAACCATAAGTTCTATGCTAACAGTTCCTTCTCTCACACTTCTTGTTTGTGGAACTCTCTTCCAGCAGTTTGCTTTCTAGATTTTCAAAAATTTAAATGCAATATCAGTTGTCATCCCACCCCTCTTTAATTCCTGTTCTTTTATTGGCCTCTCTCATTTTCTCAGATTCTTTCACACTCAGTAAATCTTTGTTTCTTAGTGTCTTTATCACCTTGCTTGAGGTGAAATGATAAAAAAAATTCATGATTTACTTTATCTTGCCTTCAAATTTCTATGAGAGTTAACAGTGTGATATGTTTTATGCATTAGAAAACAACAGATATTTCATAATGGTCGAAAGAGTGACTGGCAGTTTCACACTTTAAATTATAACCATGGAATATTAGTATTTGAGCCTTTTATAATATGTTCTTACTCTGTCCTGGACACTGAGTTCTACCTGGATTCTATCCTCTTGGGAATTTATTTATATATATTTATATTTATATATATTGACCACTAATATTATCATATATATATATATATATATATATATATATATATATAATATTATCAATATATATATATATATATATATATATATATATATATATATATATATATATATATAATTATTTATTTAAAAATATGATTCCAAATCGCTACATAAGAGGTCTCATGTTTCAAAACTAGAGCCGAAAACTTCAATATAATCCTTTAAATTAAATTGAGTTGAAAGTAAAATGGGTCTCCCGTTCCATCCTCAAGCGAAATTTTTGTTAGAATAACGTATATCTGAAATTTACTTGTTTTAAAATTGAAATCAAAATCCCCATGGTAACAGCTATGGTGAATTGTCTAAATTGGGTAGGCGAGTGTAGGGTGTTTATATTAAGTAGCGGTATAGAGATACTTTCAAGGTGTCAAGTCGGGGAAAGGTGGGGGTGTCAAAAATGAAACGGAAGATGTATTGGCAATCGTCTAGTTTGCTTGTCTATGGAGATTTATTTTATTTTATTTTATTATGAAAGGGAATTGTGCATATAAAAAAAGAAAAACTTTCGTAACGTTTGTTTTTTGACGACTTCATGAAGGGTTATCTTATATGTAAGGTATTTAAACTACTAATTTAGGCTATGGATTATGAAGTGTGTTATGTAGTATGCATGTTTGTAGTTAATTATTCCTACTATGAATCTGATGATTGGGCTATTTGTTAAACAAGTTATATAAATTTTTTTATCTAATAATTCAAACCAAAAAATCTGATGATGCCTACAAAAACCGTTAACTCATGTCTATTATTTAATAGATTATTATTATTTAGAAGTTTAATGATGTGCAATTTTTCATGGAGGCACAAAGGGCATGGGTCATCCCAAGCTTTACATATTCTAGCCTTGTCAATAATTTTCCACAATGGTCCGAATCCTGTCAAAGAACGAATATTTTCTATGAAAATTTCTTGGACATTCAGGCTGGTAAATGTTATTTAATACTGTTTATTATAAACAGAGCATTTACTTAAATACTTGTATCTATAAAAAGAACGTTAAACATAAAAAATGTATTTAATAAATAAATTATCAGACTTTGTCCATTTCTTAATATATATATATATATATATATGAACACTAATATTATCAATATATATATATATATATATATTGAACACTAATATTATAATATATATATATATATATTGATCACTAATATTATCAATATATATATATATATATATTGATCACTAATATTATCAATATATATATATATATATATTGATCACTAATATTATCAATAAATATATATATATATATATATATATATATATTGATCACTAATATTATCAATATATATATATATATATATAGTCAATTCCAGCCTGCAGCAACATTGAAAAGTGCATAAGTCATATCATGAGTTGAGCCCAACCTCGTGAGTGAAATAGGGTATTCCCTCAACCACAAAACCAACATTAAGTCGTAACTATAAAGATTGGCAATGTCCTGAACTGGACATTCGTTGTTTGTAACACTTTTCTTTTCTTTTTCCCTTTCTTTTCATAATTACTTTTTCTTTTTAAACATTCAACATTGTCCCATCTGATCCTGTTGTGAATATTGACTTGACAGGTTGAAAATGACAATTTGTGTCATCAATGATCAAGGACAGTGTTTTTCAATGGCCCTTATTTTCCCATTTTCTTGACTTTGTCTTTATCTTGTCTTTTGTTTATTGCCTTTATCTCTCAAGAATTGTTTGCTTGTGGCTGGTTCAATTATGGCTGAAACTATTTTTCACAAACATTTGATGAATATTAGGATCTTGGGATTTTATTTTTTATTGTTTCAAGTATGATAGCCAGACTTAGAATAAAGATATTTATTGATTATTAACATTAGATTTTTAAAAAATGTTTTTTTTCTTTTTTTTTTTAATTGGTATCCCCACATGCAAGGCAGTAAAGCCAGTAAAAGACCAGGGGTTACGGGGTGTGGAATAATTTAGGAACAGAAACATTAATAATGAACGGGACAGGGTGTTGAATAATTTAGGAACAGAAACAATTAATAATGAACGGGAAGAGGAAAAAGTATTCAAGATGGCAGTTCATAGTGATTTACATTGCATTTAAATTTTTACAGATTAATACCGATTGGAAAGCATGGTGCTGGAAGGGAGTTCTACAAGCGAGAAAAACTGTTAGCATAGAATTTGCAGCCACATCTAACCAGCTTAACTGTAAATTGATGAGATCTCGATGCCAGTCTAATACTGCGATTAAATTCAAAAAGTCTAGGTACCATCGAGAAGAACTCATCCAAAAAATTATCATGAAAGCATTTATAGAAAAGGCACAGAGAGGCAAAATTATGGCAGTGAGAAAGTGTTGGAAACTGAGCTGCCAGACCAGGACCAATAATATTGCTGATTCTTCTTAAGATTTTATCAAGCAGCTCAAGTTAAATAGCAGGGTCACCAGACCATAAATGCTAGGAATATTCTAAGCATTTACATTGTTGTATTTATGAAGAAAAACTTTAAAAATCTATATAAATAAAGTTTTGGCAAAATGAACAAATTACATGGACTGATATATTCTATAACCCGTTTCAAAGAAAATAAAATCATCTTTCTATTGGAAATTATTAATAAGATACAATATCCCTACTGAATTAATACTGACTTAAAATAAAGTTTCAGTAAATAATAATTTATGAAGAAAGATAAAAAAAAAAATAAACTAAATTTAAAATGAATATAAAATCATCAATCTGCAATGTTTTGACTTTTAAGCATGTATAGTTATTATTAGAAATTGTATACTCTTCAAATAACACACATTAAATAGTCGAGCATTTTCTGTTAAATATTCACATGCATTTTGACCATTAGGTCAGTGTGCCAGGTATAAATAAAGGACAACATATCAAGTAGTCAGTTCATGTGGATTCCCAGTAGCAGGCAGAGTTGAAGTAGAGGATTCAGTAAGAAATTTTCCTGTATCTAGTCCTACCATTTCCAACCATGCAAAAACTGTATCAGCTGGACTGAAAAATGAAACAATTTTTGTAAAGCACTTCCACAATTATTGGGATGAAAAAAAAATTGGATTAACACTTCATCTGCTTTCTTCTTGGATAAGTTGAATATTTTACCAAAGTTAAATTTTTGCCCATTTCATCTTTCATAACATCATCTCTCAATATTGTATTTTCTTTCATGTTTTTTCATATTTAATGCTTTCCTTCCTTTTAACAATATTTACCATTTGTCTTTGCCTCTTCAATTTCCTGCATTCATTTTTTATTGTTTTCTTTCATCCATTTTCCTCCATTCTTTCTTGTTTTTGTTTTCTTTTTTGTTTGTTTGTTTCTGTTTGTTTTTCTTTCTCATTTTATCAATATTATTATTTTGTTTTGCTTTTCGCACAACAAGGAAATCCTTCCCTTAGTCACAAAACCTGCAGTAAATTGTAACTTTCTTGATAGCAAAATGTTTGTTCAACTGCTCTTAGCATTTTCTGTTTAGCATGTTGTTTTCTGTTGAAGTTGTCCCTTTTGTTGTCTTCTAAGTTTTATCACTCAAAAAAATTGAAATTTTAATAACACCAAATTGTGTAATGATCCTCACAAAGTAGTGACTTTTGCTATTGAATATTGCAATTGTTTCAGTTTTGTTTTGATGTAAATTACTTTATAATGAAATTTCATTTTTCATTTCCATATTTTCACTTCATTTTTTTCATCATTTTACTTTGGGATATATTTTTTCTATTTGGCTTTCTATTTTTCTTTCTTTCTCTATTCCTTTCACTTTCTTTCTTTCTCTAAAAGCCTCGGCCACCATCATTTCTTTCTTTCTCTCTTTCTTTCTTTCTCTATTTCTTCTTCCTCTATCATTTCTTAGATTAACTTTAATGCTTCATACAAATATTTCCTTTTCTTTCCTTTATATTTTTTCAAATCTTTTATTTATTTTGTTATAGAAATAATCTCACATCCAACACAATTTCTTGTGAATAATTACAAGTCTTTTTCTCTTCATTCACGTCTCTTTTTCTTTCATAATTTTCTTTCTATATTCAAATATTTCTTTTGAATGCTTCTTTTTTTTTCCTTTCTTTCATTATTTGATTTCTATAATCTATTACTTTTTTCTTTCAACTTTTCTTATTTCTTTGATTATAGTGGTTCAGTTTAGTTGTCTCACAATCTTTCGCATTCCCCACTATGCTTTAATTATATCTACTTTTCATTTATCATGATAATAGAAATTTTCATGATGTTTATGTAACAAATAATACATAGAAATGCGGCCCATTAAGTTTTGTCACTTATGTGGATGCTCCACATCAAAATGACTAACATAATCAAATAGTCGCAAAAGATTTTCAACCCTTTTGTCTTTCTATCTTCTTTTTTATCTTTCTTTCTTTTCTCCTTTATAGTACTGATTTTTGCCTAAATGCTATGATAATAATTCCATTTAGCATGTATTTTTTTATGTCAGCATAATTAAAAAATCAATCAAAATCATTTATAGTTATTTGTTATTTATCTAGAGGATGCGATGCGTAAATTGTCACCATTTTATATTTTTAATTTCACTCATGTGCATTGTTTGCTTTTAATTTTGTGAACTGCACATTACAGCAGCATCAGTTGGGAACCATCTGTGAGAAAAAGAGCACCATGATGCAATTGACTCCATCAGAAATTTGGAAACGGCATGCATTTGCACTGGGAGCTCCAATAGGAACATTTCATCTTCCCACAGAGCCTCAAACTCAACACAAAGGCCTATATCAAGTGCCTTGAGGAGGTAGTGCTGCCCTGGGTCAAGAGGGTGGCTGCTGAAAGACCCAATGTCTGGCATCAGGACTCTGCATCATGTCACACAAACAGGAGAGCCCAGTTATGGCTGTCAGACAATTTCTGCAACCACATCACTCCTTACATCTGACCACTTAACTCCCCAGCCTGCAACCACCTTGATTGTTATGTGTGGGGTGAAGTTGAGCGAGGGACCAGCAAAACTCCTTGTAATACCAAAGATGAACTGAAGGCAAGGATTATGGCAGCATTCACCAACTTAAACAAGGAGACTGTCCAGAAGAGTTGCAGGAGATTCTGAAGTCATCTGGAGGCCATGGTTGAAGCCACTTGCGATTTTATTGAATAAATTTACTCTTTAGTATTTCAAGATATATTTTTGTATAATTTAGGTAAATATATATGTTAAAATAATATGTCAGTGTTATTTTTATTTTTGTGCAATTTAGGTGAAAATTTATCCATCGCACCCTGTACAAGCATCAAGTAGTTTATCTGTAAAATTAATTTAAAAATTCACAATAGAGGAAAATACTTACACAAAACTTAGATAATGTAATAATTTGTTGAATGGCCAAAAAGTGGAAGTTTTTCAATTGAAACAGATCCCCCCCCCAGATTTCTCTGTTTTCCTTTGTTTTTTTTTCTTCACTCTATTTTTTTCTTTCTAGGAAATTCTAAAACCTGAAGTTAAGCCAAAAGTGAGTATTGACTGTATTCAATGTTAAATCCTGTAGTTGAGAATGCCAAGTGTTGTGTCAATGTTGTCTATTGGAAACATGAAAAGTTTTGTCTTCAAATCTGACAATTGTCTTGAATCCAGCAAATAACAAAGAGAGAAGGCAATGAAAAAAAAATTTTTTTTTAAATCAAATAATAGAAACATTGCAGATTAAATGATGACATTTATATTGAATCTCATAAAGTTGTTAAAATAACTCAATTTTTCTATCAAGAAAGATTGAATCAAGATTTAGAAAAAAAAAAAATGAAAGAAAACTACATCCACTGATTTATCAAAAGTCATGAATTTGGTGACTATTATCGTGTACGCTCCCTTTGTTCCAGTGAAATGCAGTAACTCAACATGATGTTAGTTGCCTGGGGGGTTGTTGGGGGCACTGATGTAGATAATGCTCCCGCACGTGCACAATAAACAAAAACAACTGATAAAGAAGTAATTAGAGGCTTACATATGATTACTGAAGTTAAGCAATGTCAAGCCTGATCAGTATTTAGAAGAGTAACTTTGAAATACCAGGTTCTGTAAGCTTAGATATGCACGTGGTGTAATGAATAATGTCTTGGAATTGTTAACTGGAGATCTGAGTTCCAATTCCAATTGAGTTTGTTATATTCACTTATGTGCAAATATCCTTGGGAAAGGGTATGAATCCACCTCTCCTCTTGTGTTCCTTTGGTAAGGAGTAAGTGCCACTCAAACAGTTTCTTCCCCAGAACTGTTACTTTGTGGAACAGATTCCCAAGAGGATGCTTTCCTGACTACTACAATCTTAATCTGTTTAATCCAGAGTCAACCATTATCTATCCTACATATTGTCATAATACATACTTCCTGCTTCCCACTCCCTTACAACAACCCCATTCAGAAACCTCTACTTTGACTGACCTTTGCACCTTGCTTTGCGTGAACTAAAACAATAAAAACAATAGAATTTATCCTTATTGTATGTTTTTTGTTGTTTTTTAAGAAAGAAGAAAAGGAGAAAGAAAAGAAAAAAGGAATATCAAAAGACTGGTTCAAAGGGTTGAAAATCATTTGCCCTAGTCTGGTTATGTTAATCACATTGATGTGTAGCTTCCACATATGTAACAAAATCTTATCGACACCATTTATGTGTGTTATTTGCTACTTAAACATTACAAAAATTTCCATTTTTAGTTGTATCTTTTTCTTTTCTTAAGGAGGTTACTTTCATTCTTTTTTTTTTTTTTTTTTGTTTCATTCTGTTTTTATCTTTTCCTGGAGTTTCATCCAATTGGATAAAATTGAATGGGCAAATTTTAACTTTTGTACCTGCAAAAAATGGTGATTCAAAACTACATTGTTTATTTTCTCTTGACATTGCTATTACTGTATTCACCCTAATTAATTTTGATTGGTTTTAAAAAAGCTATTTTTAGAATTTTAGTATATAACCCAAACAATGAAACTAGATTTATGCATTCCCTTTTTTGTTGAAAAGTGACAATAAAGCAAACACTATTTATTTTATTAAATTGTTTATTTGCAAGAATAATTTTATATTTACAAGTTTATAAATATATATGAAATAACTATAATGCAATATTTATTATTTACCATTTTATAAAGAAATAAATATGAAAATGGTTTTGTTAGTTATAAATTCATAAAAAAATGTCTTAACAAAGGAACAATAAATTAAAAAATACATAATTATGAGTAACTTTTATGAGCAAATTAATTTAATTGAATTAATTTAAATTAATTTAAATTAACATAATGAGTAAATTTAGTAAATTTTGAAAAAATGCATTTTCTGGGCATTTCTTTCATTTGCTTTCATCATATAGATTTACTAAAATTAGTTTGTGAGCATCTAGACATACTTTTTTTCTTGAGAAATGACAACAAAAATGTTAAACAGTATTTATTTATTGAACTCTGTGTTTACTAGAATAGTTTTTAATACTTTTGTTGCCAATTCACAAGAATGCATAAATCCAGTTTCATATGTTCGGGTTTTATTAAAATTCTATAAATAGTATTTTAAAACAATAAATATTGTCAAATGACTATACAAGAATAGTGGTGTCAAGAAAAAAACTGTCCTTTTGACGATTTTTTGTGGGTATGTATGATAACTTTGTTATAAAATAATACCATGTGGCCTTCAGGTCATAGATAATCATGACTCTTCACAATTTTTTTTTCTTTATAATCTGCAAATTGCCATGACTTCTTGGAAAAGATAGGGGAGGGATTTCCTGTTGATTTCTCCACAGTTTGGAATTTAAGATTTTCAAAACCTGTCAAAGAGTGGATGACCATTCTTATAGGACAAACGGACATCTAATATGATAGAGCAAATGGGGGGGTGATTTGTAGCTATAGATGCAACTAGTGCAGTGATGATGCAGTATTTCTGGATGGAGATTTCCCCAGATGAAATCAACTGATGTGTGTGTCTGTGATCAAGGTGAGGCTATAAATTGAAGGACATTGGTGACCGAGGCAAGCCAACAAGTTGGACATTAGATATTGTTTGACCTGGAGAAGGATGGGGTCTGCCTGGTATTTGCCCAAGGCATGCTGTACATGAATGAATACCTCTCAATCCAGATATATGGAGGGAACTGGTCAGATGCTTGGTTGCACAGTGACCTTATGACCACACCCAATCCTATAAGTAATGATGCTAATTATGATGAAACTATTGGGTCAGCCTAATAAATATACTTTGAACTTTCTGCTTTTGTATTCACTTCATTTTACAATTGTTTTATGTAAGTAGTCTTTTATTTGATATAACATAAGAAGAACCAGTGGCTTTTGTAAATGGTATTTAGTATTCATTCATTGTTTCAGGCACTTCAGCTTGAGGTAATGGTTAACAAGCCTAGTCTGGTTGATCGTAACTATTGAACAGTGAGTTTGATTCTCATTGGATTTCCATTATACATTATTTGATATTAAATAACCCAACAAAAACTGGTACATTATAAAATCAGCCAGTAAGGTTCATTATAAAGAAAAACACATTTCATTGTATGAAGAATGATGTGCCATGATGAGGTGTTGAAAAAACAATGATTATGATCATCATAATACTACCACCATTAGCATCTTGTCCTGTCAGTGGGACTTACAATGTCCCAAGTACATCTGTAGAAGGATAAGGCATCCCACCAACAGGCACAACTTATCAGGTGGATGCTTGCAGACTCGACTATAAATGACCAATTTTTGTCTGTAGACTTGCATCTAAATGTGACCAATGATTGCCTGTAGACTCGCTTCTAAATGTGACCAATGATTGCCTGTAGACTCGCGTCTAAATGTGATCAATGATTGCCTGTAGACTCGCTTCTAAATGTGAACAATGATTGCCTGTAGACTCGCTTCTAAATGTGACCAATGATTGCCTGTAGACTCACTTCTAAATGTGACCAATGATTGCCTGTAGACTCGCTTCTAAATGTGAACAATGATTGCCTGTAGACTCGCTTCTAAATGTGACCAATGATTGCCTGTAGACTCACTTCTAAACGTGAACAATGATTGCCTGTAGACTCACTTCTAAATGTGACCAATGATTGCCTGTAGACTCGCTTCTAAATGTGACCAATGATTGCCTGTAGACTCGCTTCTAAATGTGATCAATGATTGCCTGTAGACTCGCTTCTAAATGTGAACAATGATTCCCTGTAGACTCGCTTCTAAATGTGAACAATGATTGCCTGTAGACTCGCTTCTAAATGTAACCAATGATTGCCTGTACATCCAAGTATGATAAAAACTGATTTTGATATTAAATAACCCAATATTTATTGATATATCATAAATTCCACCACCGAATCTAACCAATATTTGCCTATAGACTAAAGTCTAAACATAGCCTATAGACCCAAGTGTCATAAAAAAATTGAAATTAATATTAACTCACATTACAGGTTGTTATTGGATATTATATCTAAAGGATTAAACAAATATGTGGAAAAAATTCCTGGCAGCCCTAAAATATATTAATTTAAAAAAAAATCATATGCCTGGATACTTCTCGCATGTTGTGTAGATTTCATTTTGTTGATCAAGATTATATTTAAATCTGTTCTAAAGCAACTTTATTATGTTGGTGTCACAAATTGATGAAGTCATTGGGAATTCTGTTCTTGAATCATGGTGTCAACAAGACACCTCCCAACTCAAATCAGGCTTATGGCCGCATCATGTTGAAACACTGATTACGTACAATCACTGAAGTTAAACAATGTCAGATCTGGTCAGTATCTATATGGGTAACTATTTGGCAATAACAAGTGATGTGAGCTTGGATGTGTGTGCTGTGTAATGGATAATGGTTTGGAATTGTTAATCAGAGAGCTGAGTTAAAATTCCTGTTCATTTACGCATAAATACCCTTGGGGAAAGTATGAATCCAACTCTTCTCCCCACCAGCTATGGGTTAATTAGTAGGGCTTGTATCACTAAACCATTATTATCGCAAAAAAAATTCTTAAAATTTAAAAATAGTTTCTGTCTGTAAATACCCTGCAAAGGCTTGATAAGCTGTAGAAAACCAATCAATCAATCAATCAATCAATGAAATACTGATTAGCTTCACAGGCATCTCTTTTAGATTTATTTACATTCACTGGGATAAAAATGTATAGAAACTACCCTGATCACAAAGTCAGGGATTAGTTTGCATATTGACCGTAATATAGAACTGATCACCCACTTTATATACACATAATTTCCTGTTTGTCAAATTCTGATTAGTTATGAATCCACCTCTTCTCCCCCAAGCTTTGGGTTAATTAGTAGGGCTTGTATCAATAAATCATTGTTATCTCCAAAAAAAATTCTTACAATCTAAAAATATTTTCTGGCTTTAAATAACCTGCAAAAGGTTGATAAGCCATAGAAAATGAATAAATGAATCAATAAAAACGAATCAAATTCTCATCAGTCCAATCATGTCCCTTCTGTATCAAATTGGGACATTCAGTATGTGGTGACTTGTCTCATTTGGCATTGGTTTTGTTCTTGTGATCTGCCTGTCCTTATTTTGGTTGCATTCATTCTGGTGGTAGAGGCCATCAGAATGAAGGCAATCATTCCTGCAAATATAAGTGACTCTATTTCTCTCTTTAGAAAAGCATCTTTACCCAAACCACCTCTTAGGTCCAGCAATTGTCTCTACATGCTAAAAAACTGACCATGAATCTTTTTTTCTTTCAACTTGTCTTACCATTTCCTCTTGTGCTGCTTCTTTGCTACAATCACTGGCTCAACATTTCACTCTTCCAGATCTCTATTGACTGTTTGTGTTGGCATGTCTTCAAATGTAGATATTTCTCTTTTCTCTACCCTATTATGTCTATATCTAAATTCATTTGGGACCATGGGTTGAGTAACCGGATATTAGGTCCATCAATAGATTATTATTCCCAATGGATTATCTTACCAATCCAATCCTGTTGCCGTTATACTCTTTCCTGTGACAACTTAGGATATTCAGCGAATAGGTGATTACCTGTCTCATCAGCTTGTCCACACATCCTGCATTTGCTTTCTTCTTGTGATTTGTCTCTCCTGGCATTCTGATTGATGACCCCCACCCGGCCATGTTGTAAATATGAGTGAGACTTTTTCTCTCTTTATAAATTCATCTTTTACCTAAAACTACCTCTCAGGTCTCACAATTGACTGCTGAAAAAAAAACTATATCATGAACATTTTTTTTTCTTTTAACTTGTCAAGCTACTTCTCTTTTGGGTCCTGTCACTGGATCTAACCAACACCTTTATCCATGTGTCCTAAAGGACACATAGCACAGTAGATAAAGAGTGCGAGTTCAATACCCGGTTTAGGCAGTTGAGAACTTGGAGAGGGGAATTAACAGGAGATAACTGATAACTGACATCCATTAAACATGGTACGTGGAACTAGAACAGTCTACCCCAGTGAGCAAAATAAAGGGTTCAGTTTGACCTTCAAACCACCTGAAGAAGGCCGGAGCATACAACGTCCGAAGCATTGTGATAAATATGGCGACAAAGATGTCCGAATAATGTAAATAGTGTCTATGAAGTAATATTGCTAGAGAAGTGACTTCATCTGCCAGGATTACTCAGCTTTTAAAAAAAGAAAAATGACAAGTATACTTTTGAATAGAAATCCACAGAATAAACATACATCAAATTTAAACATATGAAGTTGCTAACATTCACACACAAGGCCTGTAGGATTCATGTTTAAAGTATTTTCAAAAAATTTTTAAAACATCCATTTTGTTTTTGGTTGTTTTATACAGGTCTTCAAATGCATTTTTGTTCAGTTTTTTTTTTCTTTCTTGCCAATTAAGAAGCTAGCATTTCATAATATTTTGTGTGTTGACAAATGCATTGTTGCTTGTGTGACTATTTTTTGATATCTTTTTTTCCACATATATTTCTTGTAGGACATTATAAAGCCTGATTCCAAACCTGTAGTGAGTACAGACTGTGTTACGCAGTGTGTTTCATAAGTCGTTCCTTTGTGAATTAAATATTATTTAGCAGATTTTGCATCTGTTGACATTTTATTTCTTTCTGTCTTTCATTTTTTTCCTTTCTTATTTTTGTTTGTTTCATTTTGAACTTATAACAAACAGTAAAGCTAAAGAAAGTATCGATTATGTGGGTCAGTTAAAGCCTCAGTATTTGTAAGTGTCTTTCATAGTTGTTTGTAGATTTGTGTCACATCACAGTTGACATTATTTTTATTCTTGTCTTTTCTTTTATTTATTTTGTTTCTTTTTCTTGATTTTGTTTGCAAATTGTTGCATCTACACACACTGCGGTTTGTTTGTTCTCAACTTGTTTTTTTTTCACTGTATTTATATTCTTTCCTTCATTTATTTTTCCTCTTAATTTTATAGAACAATATTAAATCATTCTTTAGTGAATTAACATTATTCTTTTTTATTCGCTATTTTTCCTGTATTTTCTTATTTTTTATTTTTCTTACTCTTTCTTTTCTTTCCCTTTCAATTCTTACTTTTTCTTTCTCTTTTTGTTTTACATTCTTTTCTTTTCTTTCTCATTTTCCTTCTTTACTTTCTTTTTTCTTTTCTTTTTCCTTCTTTTCTTTTTCCTTTTCTTTTTTCTTCTTTTTTTCCTTCTTTTCTTTCTCCTTCTTTTTCTTTCTCATTTTTCTTTCTTCTTTTTCTTTCTCCTTCTTTTCTTATACTTTTTCTTTCTCTTTTCTGTCTCTTGTTTTTTAATACTTATTTTTCTTTCTATCTTTCTTTTTCCTCTTCACTAATCATTCTGTTTTTCCTTGTCCTTCAATTCTTATTTGTTCACTTTATTGTTTCTTTCTCTATTATGTAAAAATTCATATCTGAATTATCATCTGAAGTTGTTGTGACTGCAACAAAAGTTAAAATCAGGACAGACCAGATGAAATCAAATGAAATGTTGTTCATTATCAAAATCTCCAGAGTTTTTCACATTTTGTCTTCTTTTATTTATTCCTCTCTTCTTCATTTTCCCTACAAAAAAAAAAAATCTATCACAGAATTTAAACAAGGCTCAGGTTGAAAATCCCAATTTGGAATTTTCTTTGCTATCATCTGAAGAATGGATCAGCATTAAATGACATCAAGAACAAACACACACACAAAAAAATGTTGATATATAATAACCAGTGGTGGACTGGCCAGGGTGTCAGCTTGTCCGTATCAAGTAGGCCCCTGATGGAGTGATTACCTAATATCAAATAAAATACAATAAAGAAACAAATACAAACAACAGTTTTAGTATAAAAATGAAATAAGCACTGTTATAAAGTTATCTGCACGCTATCAGTTACACAAATCCAATACAATAGGACATTTTTAAAGCTAATAATCTGTTATACCAGAACATTACCTATTCTATTGTAATAGACTCTCCCACAGATAAGTAGTAGTAGCAGTGGCCAGTTGAGTTTAGTGGTGTTGAGCGAGTCAGTCGATGTCGGACATTGAAGTATCAACCATCACAACTAGATTGCTGTGTCATTTACTCTTATTTCAAGTTCCTAACGTTTTGTACGTCAAACCTAATTTAGGATGACTTATTGAAATACAAGCCCCCACTGTGAAAACTACTCTACAACACATAATCATAAAGACAATGTTAAAAAATTCACTGTCTGCTGAGAATTTGGAATCATACATGTTGCTTTCCATTGAAAAAGAATTGTTAGATGAATTGGATGAAGAAGCAATTATTAGGAAAATCAAACAATCATCAAATGAACACAAACGGTTGCTCTTAATATAGTGGACTGCATACAATGTGTGCTTTTAAACCATCAGTTCATGTGTAAATTGTGTAGTAAACTATTTAAAAATATCAACCAATTATTTAAAATCAAAAAATAAATATATAAAATTTTAAATTATAATATTATAGACACTGTAATTATTAAGAAATACACTTTTTTTTTATTAAACAAAAATTTTAATTCTACCCTTTTTTTTCATACATTTTTTTTTTTAAATTTTATTTATTTGTTATGAAAATTAAATTATATTTGTGGGTAGGGCTCCTTTGTCACCTGGTAACCAATATTTTTAGTTTCAGTCTGCCATTGCTACTGTAGGGGAATTGTAACTCTGGGTAAATAGTTATAACCCCCCTCCCCCCTAACCCCTATGCAAAAAATACTCATAAAAATGAGAAATAGCAAGACAATTATTTTATTCATTATCTGTTATGTGGCGTTGGAGAAATGAGAGACAATACTGAGTAAAATTGTGAATTTGGTGTTAAATGTAGATCAAATATGGATTGGAATTTGAAAGAATGATAAAATAAAGAACAAGTAAAGTGTATACAGTCTCTCCCCATATGTTTTTTTATAGATGTGTGTAATGAATGAGTGTCCAGATAATTTTGTTGGAAAATACATGAAGTGTCTGGGATTTTCTTACCTCAAATTTTTGTTGAGTTACTATTATGGCCTGAAAAAGAAAATGGAGCTGAAAATTTTGTTGACTCATGTGTTGACAGGCTGTCCGTGTTGGCTGCCTGTCTGATAGTGAGAATGCCACGTATTTGTGTCTGTAGAGGAAAAAAGTGGAGTCATCATTGGTTTAGAAAGAGTGAATTAATGATAATAATCATAATTGTTATAATTATTTTTGACACTATAATTAAGTTTTATTTATTTATTTTTTATGGACATGACAGAGTGACAGTGTAATTAATTTTTTATTTATATATTTCTTTATGGACAGGATACTACTAATGAATCAGCCAAAATTTATCACAGAACAAAAATTAGTTATGGATGATACTGATATTTTCTTGTCTTTCATATTTGTTGAAAAGAATCAATTTTGACATTGAGGTTCATGTAAAAAACACTCAGCAAAGAATGGATTCCCAAAAGCAAAAATATGTGACTATTTTGCTTATTTTGCTTATAATTCTTTTTTGCCAAGTACAGCATTTGTAAAATATAACTTATTTTACAAACTTTGTTCATTCAACAATTTTAAGCTAAAAAAGAAGGTAAAATATTTTAGTTTATCCACAAGGCCAATATATGACAATCATTTTTAACATAGGAACACATACGCTTGCTTTTGTATTATTGTTAAATTTTTATCATTTCGTAAAATGCTTATGTTTGACTAAAAGCCAATTTCTGAGATTTTAATCAATGTTTTTATGACTTAATTTGTTTATATTGAAAATGTAGTTTATTTTTACCTTTTCCAGATTTTCAGTGACAACTTTCTTGCTTTCTGATTAACTTACTTGGATACAAGAATTTTCTATATTTCCCTGGATATCAATTTCATACAAGCATTTACAGACGACTATCATCCAGATATTTAACATGTTCAGATCATTTGAGCTGAAATTTCCTAACATTCTCAACAGCATTTTATTGTTACTTTCTTTTCCCTAATATTTAATCTGAAAAGCTTGTAAATGTTCATCTCCATTGACAAGGTACTTCATGGATTTGTTTTTGTTTCAAAGCATTTTAAAAAAAATTATACAACCAATTTGATTTTTTTTTTTTTTTTTTTTTTTTTTAAGGATGCTGCAACATCAGCTCCAGCTGCTGACGCAGGAGCTGAGGTAAGTAAAAGAATTTTTGTTTTTAAAATCTTGATATTTTTATTTATTTATTACTTTTTGATCATTGTCGCCATTGTTCATCTTCATCATACTGTTCATCACTATTTCATCATCATCATTGTTTTTCATTACTTCTCACCTAAGAGTGGTAGCACCTGTTAGGGTCCCAGCTATGAGCAAAGGCAAATAGTTAACACCCAAACTTGGGTCAAAACACTATGAAATAACCATTTTCATAGTAAAAAAAATACCAGCAATACATTTTTGTAAAATAAATTATTAATGTTCCTAAGAAAGTTAAGTTTCTGCATTGAATGACCCATAAGGAGTTGATATGCTACTAAACAAACAAACAAACAAACTCACTTTCTATTTATAGTAACTAGCTGAATACCTGTCTTACAAAAGGTTTTATTAATAATAATTAAAAATAATTCAGCTGACAATGTTATTTTTCTAATCTTTCATTCTGTAAAGTTTCTATTATTATTATTATTATTAATAATAATAATAATTTATTCAGCAAATTGATCATTCTTTCAATTTGTTTAAATAATTCATTACAATTTTAAGAAAATCAAACTAAAGTGATTATTTTGACTAATTCTTTTTTTGGCTCAACTTGACTAATTTTTAGTATGCGATATGGCAGACAGCAACAATATGATCCTAACTAACATATGGCTGGTTTAAATTTATAGAATTATGTAAAAATTTTGATATCTTAAAAAATTAGTTATATCTACTTATTGGTTAGGTTTGTTTTGTTTTACGGGATATCAACATCTCAATGGGTTATTCATTGTTGACAAGGTTATTATTGCTGGTAATATTATTTTTCAAAAACGTATTGCTGGTAATAAAACCTATTTTCATAGTGTTTTGAACCCACTTTGAGGCTGAACTATTTGCTCATAGCTGGGACCTTGACAGATGCTACCACTCCAAGTCAGGGTGGACCTGGGAATGCCAGCAATTAAGATGTGGTTCCACACTCCTCGAAACCTCCTGATCAGAGGCTTTGCTGCCTGATGTAGTTTATCATCTTATCCAGGATGTGGATGTAGTTTATTATCATATCCAGGACGGTATCTACTTATTAAAAAAAAAAAAAAAAAAAAAAAAGAATGAAAACTTTCTGTAATTTTCGCTTCTTAAAATAACATTTATTTTAAACACATATTCACACAAATAAAATGAATAAATAAATGTCAAAAGTAGAGGGTTATCTCCCCCTGGATATGTTGTCAGATAACAGTAAAAGCATGTTACATCTGTATAAAACCAGTGTTGAATTCAAAAACACACTCTCTTGCATCTTGTGGATCAGCACAGTTGTGGACATGTGACTAAGCATTAAGGTAGTTCTTAATTTTGGTGATTTGCTTTCTTCCACACATTATATTACACATATCAAAGCATTGTGATATCAACATCATTAAAACATGATCTCTAGATTTCCATTTCATTTTCATAGTCTTTTCTTTCACATGTCAGGATAGGTTTATTGTTCTAATTACATTTGTATTATTTTAAAATATGTGTGTGTTTACATGTAGGGGAATAAATAATAGACTGCTAGAAGAGAGTGGACGTAATACTTACCATGACCTCCTGAGATCTGGCAACCCACACTGTGCCACTGAAATTATTAGTGCTTTTTACACTTGCATCATCTACAAATGGCTTGGTGCTTGTCTGTTTTGGACAGAATTATAATATTATTTTAAATGTGTCTCCAAATTTTAATCATTACCACATACATGCAGATGTACTTGTATGCACATAAATAATTGGTTAGTGAATGCATCAACAATCTTTAAACAACTCCTTGCTCAATAACAAATCCTTCAAAACTGACAAAGTAAACCTGGTTTCTGCACTTGAATAGGACCTCCAATCAGTGGTTAACTGGGACAGGAAATCGCTTGTAAATTTTATTGACTCCAAAAAAAATTGCTTTAAATTAAATCACCATAAAGAACTTTTTTCTCTCTGCCATCAGAGTTTCTGATGCTAAACTCCTGGAGAGCAACACATCTTGGCCTCATGTTTTCTACTGATTTGAAGTGGCGTCACTATGTTGAATCAGTAGCTTCATCTACTGCAAGGAAAGGTTGGGTCACTGTGTCGTGCCAGAAGATTTTTCTTGTCAAAGTCCATCTTGCACATTTACAAATCTACCATTTATCCATGTAGTGAATACTTCTGCAATATCTGGTCTAGTGTTCCGACCATACTTCTCAAGATTCTTGACAAAATCCCAAAAAGGATCTGTAATATAATCGATTCTGACTTGGCATCTCGTCTTTAGTTACTTCGTCACTGACAGGAGATGACTTCCCTCTGTCTTTTTGTTATAGTACCTATTCTATTGGACTCTCCCACAGATAATAAGTAGTAGTACCGGTCATCAGTTCGGCTCAGTGGGATCAGTGGTGTTGAGCGAGTCTGACGATATCGGACATTGAAGTACCAACCATCACAACTAGATTGCTGCGTCATTAACTTTTATTTTCAAGTTCCTAACGTTTTGTACATTGAACCTAATTTAGGACGACATTGAAATACAAGCCTCCACTGTGAAAACTACTCTACAACACTTTTTTACAAATATTTTCATGGCAACTGCTATGACAAACTTTTCTCTGGGGCCCCGACTACATGAATTTAAGCGTGCTACTAGATTGGCATCTAGGTCCCACCCCTTTTTACGGTTGAATTAGTTAAATGTAACCACCACTTCTACTCCAACAGTTTCTTTTCTCACACTTCCCACTTGTGGAACTTCCTTCCGTTTACTTGTTTGTCTGATAACTAGAATCTTCAAAACTTTAAATGCAATATCAATCACCATCTTGTGTCTTCTTGAATCCTGTTTATATTTTACCCCCTTTTCTCAATCTTTTTTATTCTCAGTTTTTTCTCTTTTCATTTCGCTCCCTGGAAACGTATAATAGTGGCATTACCTCCTTGCTTGGGGTGAAATGATTAAAAAAAAGAAAATTTTCTCTTGTTTTCCAGGCCCCTGCTGCCAGTGAAGATGCAGGATCTGAAGAGGTATGAAAAAAAAAAACAAATAATAAAAAAAAAAAACTGTCAAAATTTCTCAATTTTAATTCCAATTTAAAATCTTATTTTCTTCAACATGTGTGTATTTGTTGTTTTAATATAACAAAGATGACTTATGTAGTCCAGCTCCTGGCAAGGTGAAATCTCATATCTCTTAGAAAATGCTTTAGAATTACGAAATTATTCCTCACGATATCAGCATTTTATCCTGTTTATTTTTTTGCCTTTCTAGTTTTTTTTGTTTTTTTTTGTTACTACTGCTATGTATATACAAGCATTATCACAAAAGGACAAAGAAATTTTAATTCTTTGCCTATTTTTCTTCATCTCTTGTGGTTTTTGTTTTCCATTTTCCTGCAGCAGATCACTAATCTCTGGTAATGATAAAATATAATTTGCACTCAGTATGAAGCTAGGTGCATTGATAAGTTAACTTGAGGGATGAACTCTCAGCCACCAAAAGTGCAAATCAATGCTTCACAGATTTGCTTCACATTTGCTGGCCCTGACAGATCCACTTGATTGACCCAGCTGTGCACAAGTGGGATAAAACATTTGATAGGTTGATAGAAAAGAGCCCTGGTGCACACACACACACACACACACACACACTGGATGACGGGGGATCGACAAAGTCTGGAATGAAGAAGTAATGGTATATCCAAGTGCTATATAGGACATAAATGAATGGAATCATCCGTTTATATAAATAAGTGGAGTTAAGCAGAGTTGTGGTCAGTTAGCATTAGGTCAATTGCTAAGTGTACCTTTCATGTAGTAAACCTTCTATTTCATTAATTACCTATGAGTTTGTCTTCCTTATTTATTTCTCTCTCAAAAACATGAGACACAACACTAAGAGATTCAGTTTCATGTAGGTACCTCCACAAAAACACGATACCTAAGATTTAAAATGAATTTTTAAAAATGAAAAATCTTTCTTGAAGCTTTTATTTTAGTTTTAATCTCAAGCTGATAAATTTAATATTTCCAATAAACAAAATACTATGCTGTATTTCAAAACTAATTTAAATTGATTGGAAGGAAAAAAATTCTTTGAAATTAGCACCATTTTTAGCAAAGTGTTATAAAAATTTAAATCTCTTAGAAAAATCTTACAAAAATAAAATATCCTTTTCTGAAACTTTATTTGTGGAATATTAACTGATTTAAAGTATAATTAATTTGATTGAAACAATTAATATTTCTTCTAAGTTTAAAATATCACAGAAATGCATTTTTCAACACTACAGTAGATTGTTTATTTATGTTGATAGCTTTTTAACATCTCCATGACAACTCAATGACAGATAGATTTTTATGTAATGTTGCTCTATGGTGGTGGGTGGATGGTGTTTTAAGCTTAAAAAGAATAATTAAATATAAAACAACACTTTTTAAATACTTAGTAATGAAACTTTCAAGTTTTCATTAGACTATAAGATAATAATATTACCAATATTAGTAAAAACAATGCTTGGATTGATAAAAAGAAAGAATTTATTTTATACGTGTAAAGAAGAATGTTTCTTAGTTCAGAGCTATTTAACAGAAGTGGACCTCCCATGTATTGATCGCTTCTTAAAGTTTATAAAGTCATGATGAATGACATTTTGTTTACAGGATGAGAAATTACTTCTTTTATTTTATTTGAATACTGATTGCTTTTATCTCTTCATTTATTTCATTTTAGCCAAAAGCTGATGCTTCAGCTGAAGGAAAACCAGAGAAAACCGAAGAGACACCAGCCAACGGAGAGTGAATGATATACAGTCCAATTGATGCACAGTAAATAATTTTTTCTTTCAAAGAGAACAGACAAATCATTTGAATAAACAAAATCCACGAAACTTGTAAATGTTCTCAAACATATTCTATTTTATCAACATATTTGTCATTTATTCTGTGCTTATTCAATGAATCCAAGAATAGTTTTTATTTTAATAATCAGAAAATATTTCTAAGAATAATTATTTCAATATTGTTGTATTATTTTGAACTATTGTTCTCATTTTAGTTGTTATAGGTGTTGTTATGACATCACAGGGGCAAAATATCACATTAATCAACAGATATCCCATATCCACCAATCAATGGATACCTGATGATGACCAGAGAGTACTTGGTCAAAATGTTATCTATAATAACATCTATATCAAACAGAATGAGAACAATATTGACAATTACTCATCTCAGAAATAAAATACTAAATTATAATTATTTCAATTAAGAAATATTTCTGTTGCGGGTGGTTTATTGGCTGGCAAATAGATATTGAATGACGGAAACAAAATAAACAAAACAAAGACTTAAGTAAAAAAAATATATCACCAAGTTTATTTTTGTTAGAGAAAATACATTGACAAAAATAAGTTGACAGTGCACTAAGTAAAAAATATCTCAGCATGTTTATGTAGAGGTGTGAAAAAAGCGAAGTCTTAAGGAGGATAGTTTTGAGGCCCGTTGTGTTCTCCTAAAAAGGACAGTTTTGAGGCCCGTTGTGTTCTCCTAAAAAGGACAGTTTTGAGGCCTGTTGTGTTCTCCTAAAAAGGACAGTTTTGAGGCCTGTTGTGTTCTCTTAAAAAGGACAGTTTTGAGGCCTGTTGTGTTCTCCTAAAAAGGACAGTTTTGAGGCCTGTTGTATTCTCTTAAAAAGGACAGTTTTGAGGCTCGCTGTGTTCTTCTAAAAAGGACAGTTTAGTGGCCTGTTGTGTTTTCCTAAAAAGGACAGTTTTGAGGCCTGTTGTGTTCTCCTAAAAAGGACAGTTTTGAGGACTGTTGTGTTCTCTTAAAAAGGACAGTTTTGAGGCCTGTTGTGTTCTCCTAAAAAGGACAGTTTTGAGGCCCATTGTGTTCTAAAAAGGACAGTTTTGAGGCCCATTGTGTTCTCCTAAAAAGGACAGTTTTGAGGCCTGTTGTGTTCTCTTAAAAAGGACAGTTTTGAGGCCATTGTGTTCTCTTAAAAAGGACAGTTTTGAGGCCCATTGTGTTCTCCTAAAAAGGACAGTTTTGAGGCCTGTTGTGTTCTCTTAAAAAGGACAGTTTTGAGGCCTCTTGTGTTCTCCTAAAAAGGACAGTTTTGAGGCCTGTTGTATTCTCTTAAAAAGGACAGTTTTGAGGCCCGCTGTGTTCTTCTAAAAAGGACAGTTTAATGGCCTGTTGTGTTCTCCTAAAAAGGACAGTTTTGAGGCCTGTTGTGTTCTCCTAAAAAGGACAGTTTTGAGGCCCGCTGTGTTCTCTTAAAAAGGACAGTTTTATTGAGAATTGTTGTCCTGAAAAAGACAGTTTTGTACTCATTGAAGAGTGTTGTCCTAAAAAGGTAATATATCTCATATCGTTCCTTCTTGCAACGATGGCTGGCTGGAGCTGGAGGCCTGCTGGAGATGGCTGGCTGGCATGGTGGCTACCGGTCAGCTGCAGCTGATGATGATGGCTGGCTGGAACAGATACTGCACATTGATCCTAGGCTTTATTTAACATAGAAATGCATGTTTGTGGCACAAGGCTGTAGGGGAAGTTGAGAAAGGTTGGTCATCACTGACTATCCTAAACCTAGCTAATCTGATTCATGACCCGTTAATTCTTACAAGTGACTCATTCAACATAAGAACTCATCCTTCTTCACCCAAACCAGCATTTACCAAAATACCACATGTTAACAGGGAACCTACTCAGAAAAAAAGCCATGCTATAAAATGTTTGATATGTACATTTGTGATTTATATCCTAGTTGTCATGGCTGCAGAATGATGTTTTTCAAGGTTTGAGATTTTTTTATATTCTGAATGAGTTTTACAACAATTAAAGGTCCTGGAAGTTTAAAGCTTCTTCTCCCAGTTATTTTTTTTAAAATGTAGGAATGCTGACAAGATACAGTGTTTCTTCTTTATTATTAATCTTATATTATTCTTGAATAATGTTTTCATATTTAATATTTGTATATGGCTATTTATTTTAACAAAGATTTTTTTTTAAAATCAAAGAATAATTATTTTAAATTATTTTTATTTCAGGATTATTTTCTTGGAATTTATAAGAGAATTTTTACTAAAGAATTAATTTATTTCATCAATTCCTTCTAACAAGAATTTGGAAGAATTATTTACAAATAGATTTAAATGAATATTTTAAGAATTATTCTTCATATTTGTTTCCTCAAAGAATATTGGTTGTTATATATCATTATAATGTGCTATGCTAAACATCTGTGACTAAAAAAAGATTAACAAGACAAAATGTATTGTGTGCTTCTCTGTAGCAACTCATGATGGAACTACGCTTTATTGAAATATGATTGGTTTCTATAGTTACAAGGGAATTAACTCTGTATTTTTTAATGCATCATAATTATGAGAATAACTTTTATTCTGAGTTTTATAAAGTTACAAAATGTTTGTGTTAAAATGATTACATAATTATGAATCAATTTTCTGTTTGTTCAAAATGTGGAGATGACACTGTACAGCCAATTCAATCAGGATATTAAGAGAAAGAACTGAATATAATTCTATTCAAAATGACTTTTCCCTGTAAAATTGTGTAAACATTCTTACTGATTCTTCATTGCAGAAGTCTTAAGTTTCCAGCATATCAGGTTCATTCAAATGTTTCCAACAAATTTTAACATCTTTTCATAGCATCATGAAACTATTTTCCCTGACTTTCAGTCAAAATATATATTGTATCCTTTATGGAAAATTATTCCATATAGAAAAGAAATAAATGTATTTAGAATAAAAGCAATGTCATGTGAAAAACTGTCTTTTTGACACTGTCTTATTGTGGGCATGAAGGTTCATGTTCACCATGTCCATTCAGGACGTGGACGATCATGGCTCTCCATAACTTTTTATTCAATGTTTGTGTTGTATCCTTAAAAAAGGTTACAAATAGGCAAAGGTGATACTTGATTGAAAGGAACAGCAACAGATGAAAGACAGGGAATCTGTTAGCAGGCTAGTAATTCCTGAAGCAAGTCTGCCAGGTATATCCTGTGCTTACTATATATATCTACTGATATAGTCAGTCCACATAGTGTGGGACATTCCATTACAACAGTTTGTCTTTCTTCTATCCACATCTGGTCCCTGTTCCACCTTCCATTTATATGCAAGTTTGTTAGGGAGGTTTCTTGCTTTTGCCCCTCTTGCCTTTAATGTGTCCTGTGAGTGCCAAATCTTTCAAGCCTTCTTTTCTCATTACATGTGCTAAAAATTTCAACTTTTTCTGAATTTGATGAACCACTGCCTTGTGGAATTGACTCCCAAGTGGATGCTTTCATGATCACAACAATCTGTTTAAGTCTAGGGGTAACTGTTATCTTTGCCACATATCTCCATATACTGTGCTTCTTACTCTGTAATGCTCTACCTTGAGGGGTTCTTGGGCTTTCTACAGGGTAAATATAATTATTAAAAAAGTATAATTGTCCTTTCTTCACATTTTTCTTAAAATTTCAGTATTGCTCCAACCATCGTATTCTCAGCTTCTTTCTGTAGAACCACATCTGTGTTGCCTCAATTTTCTTCTTCATCTGTGAAAATAATTGTCCAGCATTCACATTCATATAGGACGATTGTTATTACATAGCAGTTCAGTACTTTTTTATTTCTAGGAAAATTTTCCTGTTTCTTAATACTTTCTTTAACTTTTGGAAGGCATCTTTTATAATTCCAATGTGCCCTCAGATTTAGGTGTCCCATTTTCCATTGTCTCTTTACTTCCCTTTAGTGTCCTTCTTCCTGTGCCATGTGTTATAAAATAAAATAAGACATATCTTGGCTGATTTACAGACAAATACTCAAGAGCGAGAACCGGATGTGAACGGGACAAAGCCCCGTCACAAAATGACCATTACCTTTCTTTACAAATGTTTCCGACACACATGTTCTGGTCGAAAAATAAAATAATATTTAAAGTGCTCTATTTTTCGTCCAATAAAAATGCTTCCCTCCTAATTATACTCGCTTCGTTTCTCGAGCCTGTTAAGCCATAAAAAAAACACTATAAAAGGGGTCACACGGAAGTTCAACAGGCAGTCAACAGGTGCCCAGGATAGAGACCTGTCACGTCCAGCTGCTGACAGCAGGAGAGCACCAACCACCATCAACATGTGTGAACTACTATGAGAGATCGACCTAGATCCGAAAGCCGGCTTATGGACTTTACCACAAGGTAGCTGTCCCAAACCCTCACGTTCCTGTTGAAATAAACCACGTAAATCTATTTCTGCTGTTGTATTTCTTTCTTGCAACCATACGCTTGTCTATAACACATGTCTATCTTCATTAAGGCATTTTCATTGCTCAAATGTTCTATCCATAGTAATCTTAGCATCGTTCTGTAGGACTACAACTCTGTTGTCTCAAGTCTCCAGCATTCACTGCCATATAGAAGAATTGATATAGCAGTTCAGAACTCTTTTCTTTGTTTCTAATGAGGTTTTCCTGTTTCTTAATACTTTGTTTAGCTTTTGTATGTTTGTGTCTTTTCCTATTCCAATTGCCAAAGAAGGACACTGAGTAAATATGATATCAAATGTCTATAAATTTATGAAAAAATAATTTTTAAAGAGAAAAAAGAATTGAACTGGATTCAAACCAAATGGCAACATAAGAAAATAATATTCTTTAAATGACATTATGATGATTATTCTTTTATGAGATATGTCCCTTTAGGACATAAGTGATCATGGCTCTCCACAACTTCCTATCCTATGTAGCTCTAAGCAATATTTGTGCCCTTACTGTCCCTCTCAATCCCTGTTCTGCCATCCATTTACACCAGCTTGTTAGGCAGGTTGATCATGGCTCTCCACAACTTTCTATCAATGTTTCCCTCAGTTTCTTTTGACCATAACATTTGTTAAAAAACCGAAAAAGGAACAATTCATTTTTTTTTTCTTTTTCAGGTATGGGACTTGAAAACTTTTTCTGACAAGAATTTCTATCTCGCAAGTCAAAGCAAGCCAATCAATAAGCACCTTCCAATTGCCGCTGCTTCTACAAAAATTGTTATGAAAATCAAATAATCACAGACTTCACCATTCCTTCCTTTCTTTCCTACGTTTATTTCCTTCAGTCTCTCCACAATTCCAAAATGGCCGTTCAGGATAAAAGTGCTACAGTTGTCTCCCTTTATCAGTTTCCTGTGGGATTTTGTTTTGTTTCGTTTTTTTGTAACCCTCCTTTTTTTTTTTTTTTTAAATTCTTTCTCTTTCTAGACGTTTTCTAACATTTCTACTTTCTTTCACTTTTCTTATTCTTTTTTTAATTTTCTAATTCCACCTCTTTTTTTATGTTTCCCCCCTCTTTATCTTTTTATGTTCTTTCCTCAACTTGATACTCATTCCTCTCATTTATTTTACAAAATCTCTCCTATCTTCCTTTTTCATTTTCCATCTTTCTTTCTTTTTCTTCTTTCTTCTCCATTCTTTTTGATTTTCTTTAAAGTCTTTCTTTTTATCATATAAAGCAATAGAGAAATGTAGAGGAGTATGAAGAAGAAAATAAAAATCAATTTCTTTCTCCTTCATGAAGAAATTTATTTCTTTTTCTCTATTTTCTTTATCTAAAATCTTATCAATTTTTTCTGCTTATTTTCTTTTAAGCATTTCTTGTTCTTATTTATTTTTAAAAATTTTCCTTTTTCCCATTTAAATGAAAGAAATAGAATCTGTTTCATTCTTTCTTCCTCTTTTCTCTTTCTCTTTCTTTTTTCTTTTTCTTTAGTTTCCTTTCTATCTCCAACTAATTTCCTTCTCTCTCTCTCTCTCTCTCTCTCTCTTTCTTCCTTAATTCTGGAAACTTCCATGAAACAAATGCCAAAAAAGAAAAAGCCATGTTAATCATAATATTTTTCTTTTTAATATACAGCTCTAAATTCTATTTATTTTACACCAAAAATGGTGTTGCTCTTGTCAGCATTATTAGTTCCATGCTTAGAAAAATATTTCTTGCTTCCATAAGGATTTTGCTTCTAATTTTTCTTATTGCTTTTTCTAACAATATATTTTAAAGGGATTTTTTTTATGAACTTGGGTTCCATTGAATTGTAAGAGGAAAACTTTTTTATTTTTTAAATTCAGGAGGTGGCTTGTGGGGTTTGATCCTGCTAAAATTTGCACTTCAAGTTTATTTTTCTTTTAGTTAGATTTTTAACGTAATCTATTTGGGATTGAATGACAAGGTCTTTGGAAATAATTTATCAGATGGGAAGAAGTGAATTAATTATATAAATCTTTACAATCCTTTAAATGAGGCATTTTAAATCAGTACTAATCAACAACTGTTAGATTTTCATTTTGAAAATATATGGGGCAGACAGTATATTCTTGTACAATGAGAGTTTAATGAAAATTATAGACAGTCAATTATTGTGGCCAGCCATTTTTTTTCAATGAATACTTATAGGGTCTTTTCTTGGGGCAGGCAATGAAACATTTCCCAACTTTTACATTAACATCGGAAAACAGTCCTTTCAATTTTTCCAGTATTGGCATATATATGATTCAAATAAGCAAGAACTTAATTTTTCTCAAGACCAAAAATCATCAGCCAAACCAGTCAGACAAACAGTAAGAATATCAGTGGCTGCTCAAAACTTAACAATGAAGAGATATTCCTATTTAGAAGCTATGAATTCCAAGAAGCTCTGGAAGGGAAAATTTGATTTCTTCAATGTTTAACTTTTGTGCCTGTTTCAAAAAAAAAAAAAATGGTTATTCCCTTGACATTGCTATTACTGTCTACACTATTGACTCTCCAGGCATTGTTTGGTTTAAAAAGCAATAATTAGTTTTTTTAATAAAACCCAAACATATGAAAGTAGATTTATACATTTTCTTTATTCTTGAGAATTGACAAAAAGGTTATTAAACAATATTTATTTATAATTAAAAATTATTCTTGTAAATAAAATCTAATAAATAATTATTAGATTTTATTTACAAGAATAATTTTATATTTACAACATTCTAAAAATATGTGAACCAACTGTAATGAAATATTTATTATTTACTATTTTATAAAGAAATAAATATGAAAAGAAATTTCTATATTATTCATAAATTTATAAAAATGTCTAAACAAGAAAATTTAACACAAAACGACAAGTAACAGTAATTATAAATTTTAAAAAAATGCTTTTTCCCAGCATTTCTTTCATTTGCTCTTGCCACGTAAATTCAGTAAAATAGGTTGAGAGCATCTCTTCCTCTTACATACTTTGATAATTTTTGTAATTTTTTTTAATAAATTTTGGAATAAAAAGACTTCTTTTCAAATTTATTTCTTTTAAAAAATTTTAAATAATAAATATCACATTCTTATATTTCATAATTTTATAAACGTTGCTGAAGGAGTCAAAAGTGCATAGAGTAATAGAAGTGTGAAGTGAATAACCATCTTTTTGATACTATTTTTTGCATGCACGAAGATTAAACATTGCTAAATATTCTTTTGAAAAATTAATTTTATTTAAAAAGTGCATTTTAACTTGTTCTAAAAATCAAATTATAATGAAATAATAAATTGCAACTTTCAACTGATTTTATTTTATTTTTTTAATATTAGAAGATTTTTGCTATCTTTAAAATTCCAAATTCATGTAAAAATGTATCAACATTTTGTTAATCAGTCATTAATTTTAAGAGTTAATAGTTTTTTCTGTGAACAAAGATATTGGCTACTTTTTAATATTTGATCAAATTGTATGTAAACTAAAGCAGAGTGTCAAAGAAAAAAATTCAAATTTATTTTCAATTTTGTATTGCTCATGTAAATTGCTAAAATATTTATGTGGGAGAAACAATTTTCACAAGTGCAGAATTAGTTTATAAATTTAGAATATTGCACTGATTACACACACATACACACACTCCTATCCAAGTCAACATGCATGACTACAAAAATTTAAAAAACATATAATATATATATATCTGTCTATATTTCAGAGATGAGGTATTATATATATATATATACACATTCCCAAGCCAATATACATGACTATAAAAATATAAAAAATATATATTTACACATGCACACTCTCCCAAACCAATATACATGACCATAAGAGTTTTAAAAAATTAGAATAAAATTGTTAAATTCAAAATCTTCTATTATTTAAAACATATAATGCATAAATTAATTTGTCAAACTAAAATAATATAAATAATAATTACATTATAAAAAAAATTCAACATTTACTCACTTTCATTTAATAGTCATTAAATTACATCACTTAGCATCTCCCATAGTTTACGTTGACTTAAAATTAGTCTGAAGTGTACTTATGTGTGTTCTTAAATTTAAAAATTCTGAAAAACTAACAACATTCCTACTTTTGTT